CGAAGCGCTGCTGGCGAGTATCACGCACCGGCGCAACTTCATTCGATCCGCCAATATCAACGACCGGTTCGCGCCGTCATATCGCTACAGTACGACCCTCATGGCCTCGAGTAGCGACCAGCTGCTCGTCACTGTGTTGCTGGACAAGCTCCGTGACATCACCGAGTCTGTGAACGAGTGGACCAAGATGGAGCGCCATTTCGAGCAGAAGACGGCCAGTCTCCACAAGTCGTTGACGCTGATCGGCACCAAGCGGAAGCGCGCGCAGGCACTACCGCCCACGCCCGCGTTGTTTGCCAAGGTACAGATTCCTCCGTCGCGACGTCTCATTGAGCGCCAGATCGCCAACTATGAGCTGAACATGAGCGCTATTCGTCGGAACCGTGCACGTATGCGCAAGACGCTGTCTGGCATTTTGAAGATCGCCCGGGAAGAGCATCTCAGCGACGAGATCGTCCACATGACAGACTTGTTGTATCAAAAGTGCCGTGATCTGAAGGCGGAACAAGAGGAGGAAGAGCTGCGCATCAAGGAGGAAGCTGAGGCTGCAGAGAAGGCGCATCTAGAAGAGGAAGAGCGGGCAGCACCTGACCTCCAGAGTACCGACGACGGCGAGGCGAGTGCAGAGGAACCCGAAGCCAAGAAGCAGCGTGTAAATGCGGCCGCTAGCGCAGCTGTCCCGCCGCCGAAAGCTGCTGCGTCCAGTGACAGGAAAGACATCTCGTCGCTGCTTGGGAGCGAGATTCGGACGCCAAAGAGTCCACCTACAGCTCTGTTGAGAGCAAGTCGCGCGCAGACAGCGAAGCGGACCTGGAACAAGCCTCGCGCGCCATCGCGGACATTTCGTCCGTGCTGCCGGACATTTCAGGAGCCAGCGGCCCGCGGGTGGACCTTGTCAACTCGCCGCCACTTGGTGGGAAGCCTGCAGCGGATGCATCGCCTGGCCAGTTCTCGATTCGCGGAGGCAAAGCTGGAGGCGCGAAGCGCGGAAGCCAAGATCAGCAATCGTTCCTGGACCAGGCACTCGAGGTCCTGAACAAGCAGCAACAGCAACAACGCATTGGAGAGCAACAACGCGTCGAAGAGCAACGGCGCTTAGAGCAACAACGCATCGAAGAGCAACGGCGCTTAGAACAACAACGCCTTGGAGAGCAACAGCGCTTTGAGCAAAAACGTCTTGAAGAGCAGCGTCGCTTGGAAGAGCAACGTCGCTTGGAGCAGCAGCGAGAGCAAGAGCGTCGTGAACAGCAGCGCCTGGAGCAGCAACGTATTGAAGAGCAACGTCGCTTAGAGCAACATCGCCTTGATGAGCAACGGCGTTTAGAGAAACAACGCATTGAAGAGCAACGGCGCTTAGAGCAGCAACGTCTCGAAGAGCAACGCCGCTTAGAAGAGCAGCGTCGATTGGAGCAACAGCGGCTAGAACAGCAGCGGCTAGAGCAGGAAAAGCAGCGCCAGGAGCAGCAGAGACTGGAGCTTGAGCAGCAGCGGAAGGAGAAGCAGCGACAGGAGCAGCTGCGACGACAGCAGGAGCAACAGCGACTGGAACTCCAGCACCGACAGCAAGAGCAGCAGCGCCAAGAGCAGGAGCGGCAGTTCCAACGCAGCAAGGCGACAACGCTGCCTCAAGTCGTGTCGTCTGGGGCGTCTCACTTGCAGATGCTGAGCCAGCAGCAGCAACTCCAACAACAGCAAGCGACACTTCAACAGCAACAACAACACTCGCGTCAGATGCAGCACCCTCTCTACGGGGATATGCCCAAGGGAATGCTGGGCTTGGGCACAGGCCAGCAAGATATGTACGCGCAGCAGGCGGCGCAGATGGGGATGGATATTCACGACGTGGTGCGACACCAGGACTCGAGTCACTTTGCCCAGGGAGGCATTCAAAGAGCCCCGTACGAAGTCCCACGCAGCGCAGCGCAGCAGCCGGGACCGACTGCCCCACGGACGAGCTTCTATGGCGACGAAGGGCAGATGCACTCGCAGGACGTGTTTGGGTCCCAGGGTCTGCCTGGCCAGCAGCGGCCACTGTCCGAGCACCACATGTTCGCGAACGAGTTGCAGCAACACGCAGATCAGTCAAGAAGTCAGGAATTTCTCATGGGCAGGTCCTACCGCGGACACGGAATGGACCAGTCCGACAACAACGACGTCAACATGGACGACTGGGGCCAGTAAAGATGTGTATTCTTTGTCGATAACTGCTGATTCCTAAGTGTAAGCAAATTTGGGTGAAATTGCTATCTACATGTACTTTGACTGCCACGGGTCAGGTCTCACGTGGACAATTTCGCAAAGAGTCTTTGGAAACTGATGATGATAAAGAGAAAGTAGCGCTTCCATTGACGAAATGAAAACATAGATTTTGCATAAGTACTTATGCTTTGTAAAGATACCCTAACCTTACTGATGCCACAGAAAATGTGAAATTTTTTTGAATGTGCAAAAAGTTCGAAGGTGAACAAAAATAAGTTGTAGAAGGCCTCGAGTGCGTACAGGAATTGACATAATCAAAAGTACTATGTGGTTTTGACGGTACTATGACAAGACTAAAAATACTACAACAAGACAAACATACTGATGAAAGAATATATTACTTGCACTATAGGTGGGTATGTTTCGACTTAACAACCCGACGCTTCCTGTCCAGGCGAATGCATCGTGCTAGCGTATCGATTGTAAGAACATTCAGGCTAAACTCGGCGGTGTCTTTCAGCCAGTGCTTCGTGTAGTATGCATTATACTTTGCCAGTATAGAATCGGTCGCGTTTTGGGCATCTGAAGCTCCCATTTAAACAGCGAAGTCTCTCACATCACTCCCATCAGCTTGACAACACTCATCCGGCTAGCCAAAGCACCATCGCTTTCTCTCCAAAGCCGTCCACTCAATAACAGGCTTGAATAGGTGGCGGGTGGCGTCAGCGCTCGAGTACATTTTGTAAATATCTCTCCAGTTCTTTGCCGGCGGAAGAATTGATATCGGCTCTTTGCAGGATTCACCGACCGTATGTTCTTGTCTACACATTTGCCCGCCCATAGTTGGCTCATTCAACATCCAAAGTCGGCAGCTTTAATTTTGGTTCATTTTTTGTCGGAGCGAGGTACCCGAAATAAGCAGTACCACTATCCCTAGTGCAATCAAAGCTGGCTAATCCATATTCAAAGTCGGCATGCTGTACTCCTCTTCTCCTTACATATCCACCCACTCGCCGTACACCATGTCCTCGAAGAAAATTGCGGCGTTGACGAGCTTCGCAGCATGCAACCCCATCTTCGGCACCATGCACTGCGTGATCTTCGGCATGTTCACGCGGCGGCGCGCTCGCGAATGCGCATGCGCGTCTCGGTCTTCGTGATCGGCTTGTCGTCGCTGATTAGCACGGCTCC